TGAGCCTCAGGGCTGAGGGGAGAGATGCCAACCTGGGCTGAGCCCCAGGGGCTGAGGGGAGTGACCCCAACCCGGGCTGAGCCCCAGGGGCTGAGGGGAGTGACCCCAACCCGGGCTGAGCCCCAGGGGATGATGAGGGTAGACCCCAAACTAGATTAAGCCTGTGAGGCAGGAGGACCCCTATTCAGGCTGAACCCCAAAGACCCCAAAAAGGGCTGAACTCCAGAAGTGGAACTTGCCTGGGCTGTGGGGCCCTCATTTTATTGTCCCCTTACAGAGTTTACTGGGGCAGCAGGGCAAGTTGTCAGGCACCATGAGTGACAATGCTGGAGAAGGGAGAGCATCAGAAAAGAGGAAAGAGCAGAAAGGCAGGAAAGCAGGCGAGAGTTCCAAGGTGAGGAGCCCAGGGGAGCAGCTGCTGGGAGCAGGTGACCCCCAGGGGGACCTGGGAAATTTGTCTCATCTTCCCCATTGCAGGAGGGGAGAGCATCTCGGGCACCAGAGTGATGGTTGACTGGAGCAGAGCCAGCTAGGATTCCACCTGCCGGGGAAGGAGCACATGCCGCTGGGCCTTGGGAGGCAAGAGCCCTGGGGCTGAGACCCTCAGCACCAATGGAAGCCGCTCACTCCCTGTCTCCTGGCCAGAGATAATAATCAGGCCCAGGAGGTTAATTTAAAATTAGACCCTCACTTTTCCATTCCAAATGGTCAGTCAGTGGAAAAGGTAGGAGATGAGATGCTGCACAGGGCCAATTTCCATACACCTCCCTCTGCCCAAGAGATTTGCTGCTATTCTAGGGTGGATGGACAGGGAGGGAAGGAAGTGTTCCCTTTTGTTGAGAAAATTTGGATGGTGACTAGTGAACATAACACACTTGTGACAGGTTTCAGAGTAGCAGCCGTGTTAGTCTGTATCCGCAAAAAGAACAGGAGTACTTGTGGCACCTTAGAGACTAACAAATTTATTAGAGCATAAGCTTTCGTGGATTACAGCCCACTTCTTCACTTTTCTTCACCTGACTAGGTGGAAGATGAATTCAAAGAACTGTCCATCTACTTCCCTAAGGAGCAATGGGCAGAGATGGGAGCCTGGGAGAAAACCCGCTACAGGAACATGAAGCGGAACTATGAGTTTATGGTTGAACTAGGTGAGAGGGCCAGCTGGGGGTGAAAAGGCAACTCCAAGTGCCACAAGCAACTGAAGAGTTGAAGATGTTGTATTTAGTCCTCCTTTAAGTCTTCCTCGTTTTGGGAGGGAGGAGACATTGAGAGTTTGTGTCCTTGGGGCAGAGAGAAGCCAGAGTATAAATCCAGTATAGAAAACACTCTCACACTCTGCACCCCCCATTTCAGACCTTAGGTGAATGTGCTGGCTTCTCCATTTGCTGTTTCTGGGATGAGCCTTGGAGGCAGTTGAGGCTGCTGCAAGCCCTGTGGCCTGGGCAGTTGGAGTCCTAAGGTGCCAGGCAAGTCTCACAGGTCTTCCAGATGAGAGCACGTGGCACTGCCACCAGGTTCCCATGCCTGTATTCCCAGTGCAAGGTGTTGGGAAGGTGTCTCACTGCATGAGCAAGACTCAGATCATGTCAGCTGTTATTGCTTATTATGGCTTTCTTTGTTAGGGCTTCCTACCCCGAAACCCGCATTTATGTGTCGTGGTCGACGTCCCCAGAACCCCATCATATACGACTCTGAATCTGATGAAGACTGGACACCAAAACCTTTAGGTAATAGAGCAAATAAGTGACTCTTAATTTTACTGAGCTACCATTACTGGGCATCTCCACTGATTAAAAGATCCTTGGGGGAATCAGCTCCTTGCCACATAATCCCCAGCCTCAAAGGGCTCATGTTGACTTTTCACCCTTCCCGCCATGGAGAATGAGAAGATTCACTTCGGAGCTCCTTAACGTGACACTTTAATTCACCACAAGGGTTGCAACGTGAGGCTCTCCTTGCTCTAATCTGGGGCATTCAGGTTAAAAACTGAACAGTTTATTTTTTACTCACAAACATCCTGTATCAGCAGCAAGGCAGCATGAAATGTGGAACATGTACAGGGAAGTTCAAAGGGTCTGAACCACTCTGTGACACCTGCTTTACCCTGGGGCTTATGGTTTCAGATAGAATCAAACTGCTGCTACGTCAAAGGCAGCTTCAAGCACTCAAGCTGTATGTTATTTATAAATATTAAATAATTTTTATGAGTGAAGAGCAGTTTCTTACATAACAAAGCATTAGCCTCACATTCTGTCCTTACAACTTGCTTTGTTAAATAGTTACCCTGCACAGTGAAACCAGTTCCATTGTAACAGCTTGGGGAGGGCTGAGAGGACTTTCTTAGAGCTTCTCTATCTCTGATTTCTGTGATTCTGTGACAGTCAGAACATGAAACGGCTGCCAACTTCCTGCCTGGGACACTTACAATTTCAGTAATGTTGGTCATGCAGCATTTGGGAACGTGTTCAGTTTGTTTGTTTTTTTTACACTTATAGTTAAAACCTTCAGGCCACCACGTAAATCTGGCAGTTTGAAACAGGAAAAAAAGAAAAGGCAGAACATCAGTCAAGTAAGCTTACTAAGTACTTTTTGCTTAGATGAGGAATCTTATAGAGGACGTGAACCCTGTTTTTAATTAACAGATGCCTCTACAGTGACATGAAAAGTGCTTTTTATGTGCTAGTTATGCTGCTGATTCAACTAATAATTAAATAATTATTGTGACACTTCCTAGGGGTACCAGGGCTGTGGGGCACCTCACTACTACCTGCTCTTAGCATGAGGCAATCTTGTCTGTACCTGCTGCGGATCAGCTCCCTGATTCCAGGAGCCCCAGGCACCACAAGCATTCCCCTCTCAGCCTATGCAGGCTTCGCTGTCCCTCTGCGGCGCAGAGATAGGCACTTTCCAAGCCCTCTGCGTATCCCCCTGGAGCGCACAGCCCCTGTTCCACTGGCCACTCACAGTAGTCACAGATTCACTGTTCCCAAAGGCACAGGACACCCCAGTTTACCAGTTACACCTCAGATCACCGCTCTACTTAACACGCAGCAGAGGTTATAGTGAGAACAAATCCAAGTTCATTCAAATGATAGCAAGTAGAAATATTGGAAACAAATGGTTACAGATAAAATCATAACATGCTTTTTAGGGCCTAGACTTAATTAACAAGATACCCTCAGCTTTAATAAAGTATTGATTACCAGTGCTTTTCAACCAGTTCGGCTGGGATCCCCTTTTCATGAAACAAGCCACTCCATCAGCTTGTCAGGTGCAGGGTATGCAGCCCCAAATATAGCAAAACAGTCCTTTAATCTTTATTCATAACCCAGATGTTTTCCTGCTGTGTGTCCCTTCGATTTCGGGATCCCTTGTCTTTTTCACAATCTTGACTAGCTGGTGGCTCTGTATGCAAATAGATGTACCTTGTGAGATGCACATGACCAGCCATAGAGATTAGCGCCTCCAACCCTGCCTGAACAAAACCTATCTGAGGCCGTTCACCGCTCGGTGACCTGCCTTTAACTTCAAGGCATTAAGAACATAATTTCCAGTATAGATACCTAACTTCTTAAATATTATCCTTACATATCTTTCACAATGATTATGATGAGCTACGTATTGGCACCTGGTAGAGACCTAGTATGCCACTCTTTGTGAACTATGGTGCATATACTTGTCGCAGGGATCCTTGTAATACTCTATGCCCCCTCTGTCCTCTGCCAGTTGACACAAAGAAGTTCCTGGACCACAATTATCAATTAAATAATAACTTTCATATTAAATAAAACCCAGAACCTCAATCAAATGATTGTAAAAATAGTTATATATACCAATAGGATGCATATATAAGATGGGGGAGGGGAGAAAAAAGCATTTATATAAAAGGCCAAGAAAAGTTTTAAGACTGAGGATCATTTTTCAGAATATCTCAGTGGAATTGTTCAGTTTCTGCCACTGGACTCAAATACATTGTAGATAGAAACAAATTCACTTCAAGGCGGCTTCCTAACAGGGCAAATTTCAGAGGGGAGATGTCTAATATAGGCAAGTCACAAACTTTCTGGCCAAATAGGAGCCCACAGCAACATCAACAGCTACATCATGATTGTAACACTGTGTCAGAATGCTTCCTGGTATGACTGATACGCCCCCTACTGCTTGGTAGAGCCTCTTACAATGGTAGAGCACAGAATTTTGTATTCCAAAGTAGAGCTGCCTGAAAAATAGAAATATTTCACTAACTATTTAGGTAACAATTAAAAAAAATTAAAACATAATGAACAATTTAACAAAAATGGAAAAAGTCAACTTTGTGAAACAATTTGTTTTGTTTTTTTACAAAGACCATTTTTCAATTGTAAAACATTTTATTTAAAAGCTTTTGACTAGCTTTATACAGAAGATGCAGTATCAGATTAGGCAAATATCTAATCACCTCAGTGAAGAGATCAGTAGGTAAATGTCTGTATTTTAAGCCTCGTATATAACTTGCCCCTTGCCTCTCACCCACCATATATCCTCTTTGAATTACCAAAGACCACCAAAGAGAATATACAAGTCAAATTGTATGAGGCCCTGTGATGGCATGTGTACCCCACGCTGGCCCTGAATGGATTAATGTGGGCCTGAGAGGTGAGTTCTATTACCTTGGTGCACCTGGAGGGAAAGCCAGGTGTGGCTGATCATGAAGCCCAGCTGGACCAGAGCAGGTTGGTCAGGACAAAGAAAGGAAGCAGGCTGCAGAGACAATGTTTATAATCATTCTGGGGGACTAAGGAGATGGTGAGGTAGAGGCTTGGCAGGAGAATAATCCAAGCCCTGGTATCCTAGCAGGAGTAGAGAAGGCTGGCAAGCAGTTGGGGAGACGGGAGCTATGGGAAGCAGATGGGACTGGGACTGTGCCCTGAAAGCAGGGATAGATTTGGATAGACTGCCAGGGAGAGGAGAGAGTGCTTTGGATGAGGTTCTGTGAAGGAACAGAGTAAGAGCCTTAAAAAGCCAAGCCTGAGAGAGGCTGGCTAGGAAGGAGCCCAGGGAAACAGCAGCACCAAGGAGTGGAACCGCACTGCTGGCTAAAGCAGGGGTAGGGAACCCTTTTTCTATCTTGGGTCATTGACCCACAGAAAAAATAGTCATGGCCCACATATAGCCTTGTGGGGGGGTGCCAAAGCTTACTGGCCCCGATGGGGCAAGCAGGTACTCGTGGGGGGGCACTGAGGCTCGGGGCTTCTAGCCTGTGGTGCCGAGACTTGCCGTGGGCCAGAGGAAATTAAGCAATGGGCTGGATCGGACCCACGGGCTGTAGGTTCTTCTTCGAGTGCTTGCTCATATCGATTCCAATTAGGGGTGTGCGCGCGCTGCGTGCACGATCGCCAGAGAATTTTCTACCCTAGCAACACCCGTCGGGTCTAGCCCCCTAGAGTGGCACCTTCATGGCGCTGGATATATACCCCAGCCGACCCGGCGCCCCCTCAGTTCCTTCTTACCGCCCCTGACGGTCGTTGGAACTGTGCAGCGCGGCATAGCTGTTCTCCACTCTCCCTAGCTTATCCTGTTATTCTGTAGATAGTTGTAGTTGTTGTATAGTGTTAGATAGTTGTTCATTTTACTTTTTAATAGTTGTAGATAGTTAGCGGGGATTAAGGGGGTTGTTCTCCCCCTTTTTCCCCCCGGCGCATAGCCGGGCTCATGCCCAAGGCTCCCGGTTTTAAGCAGTGCACGTCCTGCGCTAAGCCTCGTGTCTGAAGTGCCTAGGAGAGTCCCATCAGACAGATAAGTGCAAAATCTGTAAGGCCTTCAGACCGAGAACCAAAAAGGAGCGGGACTTTCGGCTTCGGCAACTCCTCATGGAGGCGGCACTTAGCCCGGACCCTCCATCGGCGCGTCAGGCCCCGACACTGAGCGCCTCGGTGCGCAGCGCCCCTGCGGCACCAACTGGTTCTGCACCGTGGGTAGAGTTGGACAAGCCTCCACGGCACTGGCCTCCTTCAGCACCGCACCCGCCACAAGGGCCTCGGCGCCGATCCTTGTCTCCGGGACATAAGAAAGCCCGCAAGGCGCAGGATGCTGCCGTCCTGAAGACGCCGGCTCCCCCGGTGCCGGGGGTAGAGCCGCGTCCGCCTTTGGATCACCAAAAGCAGGTGCCTGCTACGCCGTCAACTCCGGCTCCGCGGCCGTTGAGTCCGGTGCGGACTGGATCACCACCTCGGTTGGTGGCGGAGCCTTGTGTGACGAACTGGGACTGTTCTTACTGTGGTCTGTGAATGCTGACAGGGGAGTGTGGCTAGGATAGTCTGCATTGTGGGATGGGAGTCTGCCCGAAGGAGAATACCTGAACGTGTAACATGAGAACCCAGGAAGGGGTTGGAGGCCAGGTGACACCTTGGCCCGGGAAACTGAACAAAGGCTGTGGGAGGGGTCGCTGAAGGCAGAGTGTTGGAAGCGGGTTGGAGAGATGGCTGGGAGGCAGAGATGGCTCTGACCTCCCAAAGGGGGGGGCTGGGATGCCCTGGGACCCCAAGATGGACCTAACTGAGGGGGGCCCTGTTGTCTGTGCCTGCAAGACCTGTCTTGGACTGTATTCCTGTCATCCAAATAAACCTTCTGCTTTACTGGCTCGCTGAGAGTCATGGTGAATCGCAGGAAGCCAGGGGTGCAGGGCCCTGAGTTCCCCAATACTCCGTGACACCTTGTCTTCCGTCGACCCCAGAAACCTTCGCGACGGCGAGAGATCTTATTGCTCTCACGGAACCGGCACTCCAACCACCGGCACCGTTGGCTCCTCGCCCGGTACAATCCAGGGGCAAGCCTGCCCTGGTGCGCCCGCCATCTCAGGGAGTGGACTCACGGCACCGCTCCAGGTCGTGAAGCAGGTCCCGACGCCGCTCGCAGTCCCGGCGCTGACTATCACCTCGGCACCGGTCGTACTCGCGGCCAAGATCCTCGTCGCGGCACCACTCTACGTCTCGGCACTGTTACGATCATCGGTACCGATCGAACTCCAGACGTAGTTCCCGGCACCGGTACGAGCGACGCTCGGCTTCGAGAGGCCGCTCCCGGCACCGTGTCTACTCGCGGTCGTCTTCATCCAAATCCAGATCAGGATCTCGGCACCGACGTGGTCATCGGCACCGATCCCGATCTCGGTACCACTCACCGGCATCGCACAGGGACCGATCATCTCCGGACCGGCACCGAGCGGCACCGTATCATCCGGAACCGATTTCGGCGCGATTGGCACCACCCTGGCCCTCGAGATCGGTGTCTCATTCCTCTGATGGAGCCTCGAGATCGGCATACCCCCCTCAGGGGCAGGCCGCTGAGGCTGACATGGGCCACTGGCAGGAGGTAGCGGAGGATCCCGCTCAGGGACCTACGCACTGGTCGTTCTGGACCCCGTGGGCGTATCACCAAGCGCAGGGGGCACCACCATCAGCCTCTTGCTCGGCACGCTCTGAGCACAGGGCTCCGAAGGCCACCAGGGGGCATGGAGGCTCCCGTGCCTGCACCACCGGAGGACCTGGACCCAGGGGCAGGCGACGCTCCGCTTCAGGGTCCTTTGGAGCA